CGGGAGTACAAGGTGTGCATCTCTCCCCTTGAAGAGAATATTTTAGGGGTGGGTGCCCTGCTGGGCTTGTAGCAACAACAACTCAAACAGAGGGTCCCAATTAGTTCCTGGTCCCAATCATGGAAAGGTGCAGAGTCCCAGTACAATGTGCTAGAACAGCAACTGCTGGATGTGTACAAAGCATTGCAACAGGTGGAATCCATTAAGGGTCCCACCCCCATTACTGAAAAAAAAAACCCACATATCCCATGAAAGGAAGGGTGGAGGACCTGTTAGCCAACCCCTGTCAGGGGTGTCCCAAAACCAAACACTGCAAAGATGGCATGTATATTTGCAACAGTGAGGGGTGGTGTCAGCAAGCCCAATCACCAATGCCATGCAAGCAGGACTGGGACTGGTGTCATTTCAAGGCACAAAGCCTCTCCCTCCACCTCCTGTACTTGACCCTGCAGCAAGACCTGACTGAGTACTAGAAGGGCCTCCCCCAATTCCGGCTAGTGCCTGGTATACCAATGCCACTAGCAGGGGTGTCAGACATGAATGGCTAGTGTGGCAATACAGATGAAGAGTGACATGTTATGGTTAGAGAGGGAAGAAGGATAAAGCAGTCAATGGTCCGGATTGAGAGCTGTATGGATTGTAATAATGATGGAGCCTTGGTCAGTTACAATTTGTAATGACAGTTGTGCTGTGTTCAAGGGCTTAACCTTATGGATGGTTCAGTGGCAGAAAGAAAACTGGCAGTTGATGGGATGGCCACTATGGGGACAACAAATGTAGAACGACATATTTAATAAAATGCAGGAGGAGCTCGTGCCCCTGGTAATTTACCATGTTGTTGCGCACCACCTGGTGAGTCCCCCCGGGAATCAGGAAGCTAATGCCCTCAACAAGGTGAGCAGCACACTGGATTCAGATCAAGTTGGGCCACAGAAGGGCCACAGAGGTGTGTAAATATGCTCATACTTGTGTCGACACTGCCACAGGCCTTTCACATGTCTTTCCTTGTAGGAGAGCAATGGGCAAGGCTATTAGTAAGGGGATTACTGAACTCAATGTCATGTATGTGTGCCCAAGGCAAATTGATAGCGACAGAGGCACTCATTTCACAGGTACAGATGTGCAAGCTTGGGCTTAGGATAATCAGGTTCAATGATATTTCCCCCTTCCATACAATCCTACAAGAGCAGGGTTAATTGAAAGAGAAAACAGGTTGCTAAAGAAAAGTTGTAAGCCTTAAGCCCAGAAGGAACCCTATGGGGGTGGAGAAAGTCCCTTTCAGAAGCCATCATGTTGTTAAATCACAGTACCAGGGCTGGGTTGCCTCCCCATGATAAGTTGGCTAAAGGGACCCCAGAGGTACCCAAAACTATAAAGGTAATTGCCAATAATGTTGGTTGCACACCTGATGTGGACGGTAAGACCCTATTGCTGAAGAAAACACATGATGTGATTGTGGGAAAGGGAGAAATCAAGCTTGGACTAAGCTGGAAACTCCATGCAACTGGATAGGTGGCTTTCATAGGTCCAGAAGGTGCTATGCAGATGGCTTGGGGAGAACTGTCCACCATTATCCTGTTAAGTGAAGGACCCTGTGTGCTGCACTATCAACATGTGAAGCAAGATATACCTGCTGGTGCAATAGTGGCTGGTCTAGTGTATGTATAACCAGCTAATTATCAATTGGACCTAATGCCTGCTCTTAGGCATGGAATACATATCTGGTATTGTAGACCAGGCCAACCCTCTGTGGCAGAGGAGCTTATAGGCCCCAGTGGAGAAGCCACTGCAATTATATTATTAGATGGATGTGATGCACCTACTAGTACCATCCAAGCATTTGTGTTTATGCCCATCAGCTATTATTGCAGTTACTGTATACATGTTCTTCCTTCTTGCTATTTGTGTTTTTATAGTAAGTGGAAAGCCACTAAATTGAGCCTTGAGCCCATGACAAACAGAGGATGCAGAGACTTTCAAAATCCAGTGCCCTGTTACAATGGGAGAAAGATTGCCCCACCCCCTCTGAGGCTCAGGGATATAGGAGGAAGAGGCAGAAAGAAAGTTTTGTAAGAGCCAGAGGAAGGGGTGGAGAGTGTGACCTGGATGTTCCTCTGACAGTGTGATGACAAGCCATGGACCTACCTCCTGCCTTCTGCAAAGAAGCCACTCCCCTTCCCTCTTCCAACCAATCGGTTGACCATAGCTGCTTGCAGGGGAGGGGCTAAGTTTATAAAAGCTGGGAAAAGCAAGAGGCTGGTCTCTCACCATTTTGTCAGGCTTTCCAGAACCACAGGATTTATGTCTGGGTGTGGAATATGGAACACAGCCATGAATGAGTGGGGTGCCCCCTTGTTTGTAGGTAAACCTGCACCCCAAGCTCACTTAGCATGTCCAATAAATTCGTTAGGAATCTTTAAACCAGGATTTGGAGAATTTTTTCCTCAGGCTGTTGCAAGGACTGTGGGAGGGGGGGATTGGATGCTACATGCACATCCCAGCAGTATATTTGATTTACAGCATGTGAGAAATATTTTATGAAATTTTAAAAGTTCATATATATATATATATATATATCAAAAAAGAAAAAAAAAGTATGTCTGCTGTTTAAGGTGCCTAGGCTCTTGCATTTTATTGCAGCAGCCTGTGTTTACTAAGATAGTGGACTTCCTTCAACTTGCTTGCACATATTAACTATGTTCAGCAGTTAATCTGGGTATTTTAGGACATCTAACTGCATTCTACAATGCACAAGGGATTTCTTTTCATCTTTTTAGCATGCCCCCTTTTATAAACAAATGGGACAAAATAAAATCTTCTGTAAAATGAAATTGATCTGTATTAAGGTTACAACAAAATTCCATTCCTCCAATACAATGTTTATGTCTAGAGACAAGGGGTCAAAGAAAAGACACCTGAAAGTGTAGAAATGAAAAAATCACAGATGTAAATATGTAAATACAAATATATTCTGATTTGATTTAGTCCAGGTATTATGAAATTTTTATTTTCAATTAAATATAAGAAAATATTTTTGAACAAACCGAAAATTCTAACAGAAGGTAAGTATCTCTTCAGATATAAAAGTCATTAGGATTGGGTTCTAGTTCAATATTTCTTCACTGTAATACACGACCTAAGAGCCTTTTTGTGATGCAGGTAAATCTGATATTGACTCTCCAGGAGTTACACTAGCAAACCAGTAATCACCAAAATGTATGTTGATTACCTGGGGTTGCTATGCTAATGTTTGATGTCCAAAACCATTAAAATACCATCACCAAAATAAGTATCCTCAAGTAGCAATTCAAAACACCTTCTTTGCTAAAATATCATGCTTACTGAATCCTACTATGCTAAAAATATATACACAAGATAAAGCATGATTTGTGAACCTATTGTCAATAAATGCATAAGTGAATGCAAAAAATGTGAATTTCAATTATTGCTTTAAAATAATTTTTAAGCCTGAGTTTTTACTATTTATACATTTTTACATATGAATTATGTTGTTAATAGTTTTGTTATTTTTCTATTACTTTATGGTCTAAGAATTATAGAAATGATTTCATAAATATCTTAGTCACTGTTCTCATTATAAACTCTACTCCTCAGTTTTGAATTTTATATGTGTATGTATGTGCATGTGTCTGTGTAACACATTCATGTATTCATGCATGTGAAAACCATGTACGAGTGTCTTTGGAATGTTCTCTACTTGCTTCTAAACAGGGAATCTCTTTGACCTCAATAGTTAGCCTAGATGGTCAATAATCCTCTGCCCTCCTCCTGTTCCTTTGCGTCAATAAACCACCATGTCCAACATTTTAATGTAGATTCTGGTGTCTAACTCAGGACCTCATGCAAGCACTTTACCCACTGAATCATCTCCTCAGTCTGACAAGCTGTATTCTAATGCATATGTATGATTGTCGAGTTTTAAACTTTATGAGTATCTAATTTAGTACTTTAAGCAATAACCTAAAGCAAAACAAAATCATAAAATATCCATGATCATAATGAAATAGAAACACATTTAAAAAACTTAGTGTCAAAAACAGACTGAAAACAAACTTATTGACCTGATTATACACCTTTTAATTAAAAATTAAATTCTTGAAAGTAAATATGCACATTATGTTTTATATAACAGAGTAAGAGAATATGCAGTTAATTACATCTGATAAAAAGTGATTTCTCATACAAACAATAATGTTGTCAAAAATGCTAAGACACCACCTCAATACATTATGTACATGTAGCAATACAAAAGTTTAATCAGTAGCAAGACTTTTGGACCTATGCAGTAAAAAATAAGACCTTATAGACATAGTAAGATTTACTCATAAAATCTTTTACTCAGTAATGTTACTACACAATCAAATGCTGCAGCCCTTAGGTATGCAACCTCATCTATTGAACCAGAAAATAGTGTCACCTTGCTCAGTGGTCCACAGCATTTATAAGCCTGACCACTTAAAAATTCAATCCAAGTTACACAATAGAAGGAGAGATTCAACTCCTAAACTCAGGCTACCCCAAGCAAGCAGGGGCAAGGAAACAGTGCACCTGTGCTCACACACACATTACACCCTTATACACAGCATTAAATATATTTTTTTAAAAAAATATTTTATTATTTTTATTTTCTGTGTGTGAGTGTGTTGCCTTCATGTATGTGAGTGCACCCGTATCATGCAATGCCGTGGAGGTCATAAGAGGGCTTTGGATTCCCCTGGAACTGGAGTTAAGGATGGTTTGTAGCCACAATGTGGGTGCTGGAAATCAAACCCAGGTCCTCTGAAAGAGCAGTCAGTACTCTTAACCGCTGAGCCATCTCTCCAGTCCAAACACTAAATATCTTTTAAAGCACCTTCATAATTCAATGAGAACAGAAACAATTTTTATTTATTTTGTTTCTTTCCAAATGATTAAATTTATATATCATTTCATGAGACTGATTACTAGTACAGCTTAGAGAACATGGGAGCTTCGGTTACCTGAACCAAGAGATGGTGGGTTCTGGAGAGCCTGAGGCTCTACATGTTAATGTCATCTCTTCCCCCCTCTCTGCAGTGGCATTGAAAGACTTCTGAGGCATCACGATTGCTGGTGGAACTATAGAAGAAATGGGCAGAGAGAAAAACGTGATGAAACTAGAGTTTTTACATCACTTTGTGACTGTTTTCAATGCTTTAAATCTCCACAGGTACTTTTTGGGTTCATGGAGAATTAAGGTCAATCAAAGATGTGTTCCTTTATATATTTATTAGGATAATTCATTGTCTTATTATTTTATTATTTATTAATCTGTTGAGCAACGTATGGCATATTTTAACAAACATATATACTTAAATAAATTATGCCCCATAAGAAGACACTGCTGCACTGATTTAATTCATACTGAAATCTACTTTGAATATAAATGGATTTCCTATTTGAGTTCTTATTGGTCTGCTTAATTCCAAGAGCCATCATTCACTGCTCCAAGACAAGGCTTTCAAATTAGGTGTCAAATCATAATGTTCTTTCTGATTAACTACATTTAATTTCTTCAAACAACTATAAAACATTTTAGGAAGAGAAACTGCTTCAGCCATAGAGAGTATGAAAATAGATTTTCATGAACTATTCAATTTTAAAATTAAGCTTCCCCAATTTCCAACTAATTACATTGTGAAAATTGTACATGTTGCACATTTTGGACATGTTGAAACTGTGGCTTAAATGCAGTGGTTGTGATAAACAAGTGACAAACATTCATAGTGGAGCCACAGCTTCGAACTATAGGATAAGGAAGACTCAATTTACATTCTCAAGACTTTAAATTAAACACGATGAAGCAATACTTCTGAATAATCCTTCCAATAAATTGATTCTTTAACATAAACTGAACTACATAAGGAGACAGATAGTTAGAAGTGAATTTATAATCGAATATTGTTACAATAGTATTCAGATCAGCATTGATGAGGCAGCATTCCGCAGACTATGGAAATAAGAACTGACATGTATCTTGGTAATTAAACACAATTCATCACATTTCTGTTTTATGAAGGCAGTTATCAGGAGCATGTTACTAGCATGACAAAGAGGTACATTAACAGATATTAGGCATGAATTTTAAGGTCATTTTTATTCTACTTTCTGTATCTTATTTTCCTTCCATTGGGATTATGATAAAGAACATCTCTCCACCTACAACCCTCACTCTTCTATTTTGTGTCTTGTGACTGACTATCAATGAAGCATGTTATAGAGCTTGAGTCATCACACCCTTTCCTCTTGCTCTTCAGCTCTCAGGGCTGCCTCTCTCTCTCTCTCTCTCTCTCTCTTTTTCTTCTTCTTCTTCTTCTTCTTCTTCTTCTTCTTCTTCTTCTTCTTCTTCTTCTTCTTCTTCTTCTTCTTTTGACTCCTGCATGTGTTTTATTTAAAAATCAGACTGTATTTTAAAATATTTTCACAATTTTTGTTGAATGTTTGTGTATTACAAGGCATATATTTTATCATATTTAGACTTCCTCTCCCATCCCCAAACATGCCCCTCCCCTTGCAGGATTGCAGGCATTCTGTCATATATGTTAAGGCCTATCGAATTAATTTTGTGTCCCCAGATGTCCCACGGTGTGAGCTCATCCATTGGAGCCTGATCATCCTGTGTGCTCTTCCCTTACTATCACAGCAATCTTGCTTTTTCCTCCAGCATCCTTTTTCTTTCTTGAGCAGGTATATGCTGCCAACCTCAGTTGCCATGAGTTCATATGTACAAGAGCCCCATCACATCCAGAGGATATTATTTTGCAACAACCTTCTAGGGGCACTAAAAATATTTCTGCCCCTCTTCTGCAGTCTTCCCCCAAGTTTGAGGGGAAGGATGGTGATACAACTGTCCCATTTAGGGTTATTAGGGTGAGAACTAGTTTTCTGGGAATGCCTTCTGTTACAAATGAGAATCTTTCTTAACCCTGCAACCGAAGTTACTCTTATATTCTGAGATCATTTAACACCACTTCAACTTGTTTACAATATAAACAAAACACTAGACTATATAGCTTCAGTCTCTCACGACATTTCCTTGCCCCTGGCCCAGAATAATGTGTGTGTGTGTGTGTGTGTGTGTGTGTGTGTGTGTGTGCGTGTGTGTGTGTGTTGTGAAGGTATCAGTGCTGGAAGTAGCAACATTGAAAATAACATATGATTCCTTTCTCACTGTACTTCAAACAGCAGGTGGGATTAGGTTGATAACACCTGTTTGTTGTTTTTTTGCTGTTGTTATTTATTTAAGATACATAAAGGGAAAATTTTCCTCTGAAAAAATAAGTCCACTCAGAAGAAATAATTGAGAAGAGATCAGGCTCATTTTTTATTTTAAATGACTCCAAGAACCAGACTTTCTTTGTTTAGCCACTGCCCCATTGTGACTTCTTCACCACAGTGCTGTGCTCTCTACAGTTACTTATTCTCTGTACTTTGGTTGTGGGTCTTTGTATTAACAGCCATCCACTAAGTAAAGAAGATTTTCAGGTGAGAGGTGAGATTTGCCATAGTCCATTGGCATAACTGTTTTAAAATTTGCTATTTATAAATGTAATTGAAAGAATATTGCCATTATTTTTAAAGCAACAGACATTTTTTAACATATAGGGCATTACAATGAAAATGCACTTATTAGATCACCTCTATTATATTTTTGTAAATAATAATGCTTCCAGGTTGAGAGTCAAGTTTTTTTAGTTCTTACACTGTCTCTAACTGGAACAAAATATTAATATTTGTCACTTTTATTTTTTATAATGTAAACTGGAAATTAAACATTTATATTTTATGTAACATTGAATTTGCTAAGAAATTGTCAGTTCTTATGTTACAGTGTAGACTAGTAGAGCGTACTCGTATTGATTATTTAATCACGATGTTTAGAGACCAATTCCTGAACTACTCTGATTAGTAAGACTATAAGGCAGAAAGGAAACCATATCTTCTGTAATTTCTTTACTCTTTTAATTTATCATTCTCTTTGCTGCCACTTTGACTACTATATTATAAGCTCACACATCCCAAGTCTAAGCATAGAGGTTTTGAATTTTATTACACTTATTTATATATGTGTGTACATCCATGCACTCAGGTGATGAAGAGAACATGAAGGTCAGAGGACAATTCACCAGAGTTGCTTCTCTCTTTCCACAGTATGGATACCTGTGGATAATCTCATGTCATCAAACTTGGAGTCAAGTACCATTGTCGGTTGAGCAGTTCTACTGGCCCATCAATATGTTTTTTTTTCCTTCCTTGCAAATTTTTCTGTTTTTTCAGTTATGTGAATAGATTTCCTAACATAATACCCACATAGGAATTTTGTTTGGAACTAAAACATAAAATCTAAAAAGGTTTTCATTGACCAGATGCCAAAAGTGTCAGAGAGTTTTTTCCCACTGTTTTAGGCTGAAAAGTCAGATTTTCATACAATAACTTCATTTTTTTTGAATGTTCTACTGAGCTGTATTAAACAATTTGAAAGTAATTAAAATTTATAATTCATTCAGTTATCATATTTGTCACAAATTTACTTTCTTAAAACACTTCATTTCATATTTGACTGCATCTGAGGGGTTCCTTTTTATACTTTTACAAAAACTAGTCTTCTGTAAATGGTTAAGTAGTCTACACTTCCTTGTTTCTGTTTTAATTCTGTTTATATGAAAGCCACTTACAAATTGAGCAGAAATATAAACAAATCTACTCTTCCACTGTAATTTTTATTTTTACATATTTTTAAATATTATATACATCAGTATGTGTTATCATTAAATAATGATAAATTAATACTTTGAATGAAATTCTGAGACATTTAAAGTTTCTCAATATCTTCATTATATTGTTTCCTATCACATATGCACAAACATATATAAAGGAAGAACGAGAAAGATAGAACTAGATAGATGATAAATAAATGATAGATGATAGATAGAAATATGGATGATGATGATGATAGGTAGATAGATAGATAGATGATAGATAGACAGATGATAAATAGATGATAGAGAGATAGATTATAGATTATAGATAGATGATAGATGGATGATAGAATAAGATAGATATATATATATAGAAGATAGACACATAGATGATAGATAAGGATACATTCATTCCAGATTATTAAAGTGCAGTGCTTACTGATAGATAGATAGATAGATAGATAGATAGATGATAGATAGGTAGATCATAGACAAATATGACCAACTTTGTGACTGTCCTATGTTTTGCTAACAGATATTGTGTGCAGTTTTGCAGAATGTACCGAGAAGGAAGATGTAAAATAAGAGGAAAAGCTTATATTTATGTAGGATGTTATATGCAATTGGAGATGTAAAATTGAAGGATAACACTGATAGGCAAAGAACTACTGGACCTAACCAGCTCTAAAGAAATAATTTTGGTACTAATGTCGAAGGTCCGCATGATGAATTCATATAACTGTGGATATGAAGTTGCTCCTGGTAGATATGGAAGGAGTTTTGCCTTAAATAAAAATAGAAGTATGATCAACTTGCTATAATATTTAATAAGATAAGAAAATTTCTAGGTGATGAAGTACCTTCTAACTTCAAAAGAAACTATTGCTTATTTTCAGATAACAGATTTTGCAAAGCCAATACTATATTCACCTGACAGGTTACCAGGAAAAAAATGAAAACACACCATTTTGTATTGTCTTTTGACAATACTTTAGTTTTGTATTATTAATTAGGTGAATTACATATAATGTAAGTTCATGACTGTGAAATGTCAATATGCATCTTGGAATCATTATAAGACATCAGCTAAATGTTCAGTGTCACACTGAAGTATAGTGAACCTAAACTAAAAGTGAGCAGCTCTAAACAATTTCAATTACCATCTTTATTAAGCATTTAGAGTTAGAAGATAAAGAAACGACCTCTCTGAATTATACTGAAATATGTTTCTCCCATTCTGTGTACTGAAACTGCAGTGTGTTATCAGTCATGGTTAGATCATTGTAAAGTGTGTGTGTGTGTGTGTGTGTGTGTGTGTGTGTGTGTGTAAAAGCTGGTAAAGTTAAAACTGTAAAGGAGAACAGGAGGGGGTAAAAAATA